ATATGTATATATATATATATCTATATATCTATATGTATATATATATATGTATGCCATATTAATACCAGATCTGATTCTCGATCATAATTGAGTCGAGATGTTTTAACGTTGGACGAATAAGTATCAAGCGACAGATTCCAGATGTCAACTATTTATTAATCGCTGAACTAAATAGATATAAATCATGCGGAAATGTAATCGCTAATATTATCTGACAACTATGAAAGTAGCACTACCCTTGCGAACGAATATCGCATGTTTACTTTTATACTGAATAAACTGCTGACACATTATTTTCGTTAATACCGTAACGTTTAACACAGAAAGTTGATTACGACGTTAATAATTGTAACGTTAAACATCGAATCAGTAAAAAACATTAAAATATTATTATGATCTTCATACGCGATAATCTAAACAAGATTTTATATGACGTTAAATGATCCCTGTCTAAAAATAATTGAGAATCACACTTGACGCAAACTTATAACGTAAAGTTTTAAAATTTTACATAAAACCGAATCAATTATTTTGGACCAATAAAATCTTAAAAACTGTAACGCTCTACACTGAAAATTGATTACATTAATATATCGTAACTTAAACATTGAATCGGTAGAAAAAAATTAAAAAATTATGATCTTCGTAATACAGATAATCTATAATAAGATTTTATACGACGTTAAATAATTCTTGTCCAAAAATTATTGAGAATGATATTCAACGCTTTTTATGTGAAAATATTAAAATAACAATCGAGTTAATTGTCGTGAATTAGTAAAATCTTGAAAACTGTAACGATCAAGATCAAAAATTGATGAAAACGTAACATTCAACATTGAATCAGTAAAAAATATTGAAAAATTATTATAATCTTCGTAATGCAAATAATCTATAATAAGATTTTATACGACGTCAAATAATCCCTGTCTGAATAATTATTGAGAATCGCTTGACGCAAACTTTTTACGTAAAAAGTTTTTACGTAAAATTTAAAAATAACAATCCAATCACCATTATTTTAGACGCAATAAAATCTTGAAAACTGTAACGTCGAAAACTGATCACGACGTTAATACCATAAACATTGAATCAATAAAAACCACTGAAAAATTATTATAATCTTCATAATGCAGATACTCTCTAGATTTTATACGACGTTAAATAATCCCTGTCTGAATAATTATCGAGAATCACACTTGACGTAAACTTTTAAAGTTTTAAAATCCACAGACAAAGAGTATTTGCGTCTTTTCCGGGATCATTCTATTATACGACGGAACGTCCTGACTTATAACGTTATCGCGTGTAACAACGTTGCAAGTGATGACAGGCAACGACAGTCGCGTACGCACTTGTCGCTCGTTGGAACGCGTCGTCCAGTGTATATATTATCGAGATGCGGTCTGGGATCTCACGGATACGGTAATAAGCGCGTCACGGATAAATCGGAACTGGTTCCCATAGAGACACTGTGCTCTCGTTCGTCATTCACGCGGACGCGTGCGCGCAAGTGGAGACACGCGAGAGCGTGTTCTCCGAGAGAAAAGGGATTTGCAAGACGAAGAAAGGAGCGCGGGGGAGGGGAGAACAGAAAGGAGAGGCAAGAGATGCTCTGGAGCAGCACTTAAGGATAATAAACTACCGCGATAGTGCGAAGGAGAAGGAGGTGGTGCGACATCCTTCGCGGCGTACGTACTACGGAGATCTTCCGAAATTGATCGTGCTTCGTGCAACGCGCATACTCTCATTACGCGACCAGAGGAGTACATGACAATAAATGGACCTTTCCCGACGGGAAGGAGGCGAAAACGCGCCTTTCGACACAAGGAGCGCGCGTCCCCGGAACGTTTCCGATGCATCTATTAGGAATATCCACTCTTTTATCTTTTTCACGCCCGGAGTTTGAAACCACAAATTCTTCACTCTAAAATAACTTTTCCCTGATTTTCAGACGTATGATTTTCCCTGATGCTTTCAATATTTTGAAATTTTTTGCTTTTTTGTTCCGACTTAGAAATCGTCAAATATTTTGTTGAGAGAGCAATTTAACATGGCGTTGTAAATTACTGTTAATGTTGCTGATACTGTTTGCATTTAATTTTGTTGGCAGAATTTTTGCGAAACTGCATAGGTGTGATGTATGCATAAACTTTCTTAAAACCAAGAATTTTGTTTTTCTAGAAAATTCTCTAATTTTTCCCTGATTTCTCTGACCGTTTTCAATTTCCCTGACATTTCCCTAATTTCCAATTTTGTGGCAACCCTGACACCTTTCTAACGACAACGGACTTTGCTGACAAGACGCTCAATAATCGCGTTAAAAATGGTTCAAGTTACTTTTATCACCTTTATTATTCGCAAATAACAATGAATAATAAAAGTCAGTTTACAACTAATAAGAACAACTAAAATAAGAAATAATTAATAATTCTATATAATTATAATTAAATTATAATATAATAATTATTATTATACGTAGCAGTTTAATATTATAAATCAAAAAATGTTGCAAGCTATACATGTGAGAGTATTGCATAAATATGCAATAGACAGTATCACATTATTCGTTAAGCGAAATAATAGGAATACGTGTGTTCATTTTTTCAAACTTTTTAAAATTTTACATTTTAAACAAAATTTTAATATTCGTATGTTTATTATTTTTATATACGTTGCCATATAATCATCTTGCATAGTAAACACGTTACTTCAACGGGATAAAAAAGGACCAGCGTAAAAAGTGTGGCTGAAAGAAACGGACTTGTCCCTCCTCATAAATTCGTGTCGAACGTATTGGCGATGTTGCGATAGCTCGCGCGATTTTTTCACCGTGGAATTTCGCAGTATTCGTTAACAACAAAACGACGACGTATCGACGTGCCGTTTCAGAACGTCACAACGCGAGGGACCCTCGATTATGGAACGGTCCGACGGACGGGACCGCGGATTTTAACACAAAATAACACGTAGAGACGTATAAATTACAAACCGCCGAGCATCACGAAAACCATTTCGCGAATGCGCGCGATGTTCGGTCTGCGCGATCGAGAGAGATCGCCCTCGGCGGTCCTCCGAGAGAGAGATTATCGAGATATTCGGACATCGAGGCTCTCGTACGGACAGCCTCTTCGCTCGAGAGGAGAGCGACCACTGTACCGTGTTAACGCACACGCACACGCACGCACACACGATACGCGGAGCTGTAATTCGGCAAATTCAATTTTCGACGCTGTAAATACGGCGGGTGTATATCTCGCGTGAGATTCAAATTTCGTTTGCTTCTATTACTCGCGACGTTCGAATTGTAGATACGTACAATGCGGACGGTAGCCGAGTTTGCGTCCTGTATGAAAAAAAAAAAATGAAAGAGAAAAAGAGAGAAACGTGCAACTACATCGCAATGTGTTTTGATACAGACTGGCGGCAGCGTTCGAGTTTGATTATCGCGAGTGACATATTTACGGTACGTCGAAACTCGCTTGACTACCCTGGTTTTTCCGCGTCGTGCGTTACACGCATCTGTCGCACGCATACACGCACCCACGCAGCGTACGGCAGAGGGATAGATCGTTGCGTCTACCCGCTCGTGCTTGCTCCAAATTTGATTCGAACGCACACTTACCGAGTCGATGTCCACAGTCGATGGACCACCACCACCGCCGTCGTCGTCGTCGTCGTCGTCGTCGTCGTTGTCGCTGCCGAGGGGTGGCGAGGGCGAAGGGATGGCGAAGGTCCGAAACGCGCCTAGGGGAGACGACGCCGCGCCTGATAAATCCACCGTCCGTGGAGGCCGACGAGGGATCCGAGCGCCGGCAGCGGCGGCAGCGCGACAACGCACACTCGACTACGGGCCGCACACATAGAGGCTCGTACACACTTGGCTGCTCGGCACTTGTGATCCCGCACGCACTATTCACCGGGAAACCAAAAGCGCTCGAGGATAGGAGCCGCGAGCGCGCGCGCACGCGAAACCGCGACCGCGGCGACGAATTATTATCCGGGTATACAACGATTACACAATTGACAAATTCGCGCGAGATCGACGGGCGAATTTCCACCGGTATTTTTCCTTCGTTCGTTCGTTCGTTCGTTCGTTCGCGCACCCGCGCGTCGATGCAGACGCGATTATAACCTGCGGGACGAGAGGGACGTAACGGGCCACCTTCTTACTCCACGAACCACACAGTGGCCATTACCCTCGTCGCCATGCGACGAAGCGGAGAAGCGCGTTTTGTTTTCTTTTTTCTTTTCAATTTTCTCTCCTCTCTCCAACGGAGACGACGGCGACGCGTCCTACCACTGCGAAGTCGTGGTAGCGACTGCTCTCGGGAGACTGGCGGCGCAGCCCGATCGACCAATCGCGTGCCGGCTTTTACCGAGCGCCATCTTGCCCCTACCCGAGCACAAAGGGGCCGCCGACCGAGCGGCCGCGGAAACGCACGATCGCGCGCTCGACGCCGTTCCACCCTCGCCTCGCCAACATCGTCGCTACTACCAACGCTACTATTACCCTAGCGGCGGTGGATCGACGTGCGTTTTGCGGCTTCGCTCCTTCGGTGTCCTAACTTTCGATATAGGGGCTTTTACGGCAGGATTATAAGCGCGCGGGGACGATCGACGAGCCTTGTGTTTTCAGATTCGTTATATACTTCGTGGGTTAGCGCGATTACGATCCGGAGTATCATCGCCGAGCGATTGCCTCGAATGATGACTGTTTTACGAAAAGGGGAGCCGTCTGATATGTCTTTATTGCGCTTTCATTCACGCGCGACATCCGATAGAGGGATTTTCGTATCACGATTTTCCTCTCGGTAAATAGCTGTGTGGTGAAACGTCTGAATACGTTTACATTATAGACAATAACAGATTTTTTTTATTACAGGTCTGAAAGTAATTTCGTTGGACTATCAAAATGATTATGTAGGACGAATTTTTTTTCAGCGTCGCTTTTCGCAGCATTTTTGTGCGTCGAAATTTTTCTCGCTACTCAACTAAAACTGGACCGGTTTTATATCAGCTTTGATTACGATCGACGAAACAGCACTGATCGTGAAAACTCGCGATAATTAACACGTCCCGGCGATCCATCAGTTCAATTAGCACCCTCGATAGAAATTTGCGCTCATTATATATGCCTTTAACGAATAAAATTCGAAACTACTTACAAAGCGATCGCGCTTTGCGTTTCCAAACCGACTCGTTGCCGAGACTCATGGCGGAACGCGCGACATGACGTCACAGTATAAATTCGGAGTATTTAAATAATTTGAAATTGCAAACAATTAGCATTCGTAATGAAAATTGATCGCTTCAGTAATGATGATGTTGTATTCAACGTTCTTTATAAGAAAGATACGTAAAAATCTGTGTAAGATAAACCGTTCTTGATAAAGTTTTAAACTGACGCGTAATGTAATTGGACTCGTTCAAATGCTGAATTTGTAAAAACGAGTAATATGGACTCGTCCGCGTAATTAATTTGTAAAAGGCTTTCTCTACAAGCCGCTGTCTAAGTTTAAGTCTTAAGTCGTAAGAAATTAATCAATCGTAGTCGATTATTCATCTCACATTCGATTGTGACTGGTCAATTTCTTACGACTTAAAGCTTAAGTAACTATTCATTGAAGAATGTGTATAAAATATCTATTGTGTGAGTAATAATACGATCGTGAGGTGTTGACCTGTCGTTTATCTTGCGATAAATGCAAAAATTTGTGTATAAAAGGTACAAAGAAAGCGTCAAACGTTCTTATTCCAGTTTCAAATCAACGTGTATGACAACGGATTTATCCAAATGATCAATCTGTTAAAACGTCAGTAATGTGGACTCGTCGATGTAATTAATTTGTAAGAAATGTATTGTAATACTACGATTTCGTTCTCTGTCAATGCGATATATTATATTTCATGATGAATTTTCTATGTTATAGACACGCATTGAATTCGGTATTGTTGAGGTTTCCAAATCAAATTTACGCATAGTGGACTCAAAATATTTCCGCAATAATAGATCATTATGTTAACATAACATTATTTTTGTTATAAAAGTATAACACTGACAACACTACAAATAGAAGTGTGTCAAAAATGACTTCAATGTATGTGTATGATTAGTTTTAAGTGTGTAAATCTATTTTTGTGTATGCAGAGAGAGAGAGAGAGAGAGAGAGAATATAGTGTATTATTTTTACATAGAAAACTAAATACATACATATATTGTAATCATTTTTTACACACATGAATTTGCAATGAAGAGATCGAAGACTAGTGATTATCTTCTCGATCATTATATGGAAAGAATGATAAATAAAATGTTTAAAAATTTAGCTATAGTGAGAAAAATTTCTGAAAATCGAAAATGAATGAATTAGAAAATGTCGATTATATCAATCAGAATTTTATCTCAACTAGAATTATAATAGATTCAATTAGAAAATTCTGATTTGTCCATTTTCAATCAAAATTTTTATTAATGCAACTAGACCATTTTTATCCAGTATACCTATATTTTTAGTTTTGCAAAGTGTTTACGGTCTCTTGAGCCACAGCAAATTAACGAAAAGTGAAGAAACAAAAAATAAAAAACTGAAAAATAAAGAAAAACAGCACTTTTCTATATGCCTTTAAAGTCGAATATTATGTACGAAAACAGGTCGTATAGTATATATGTATTTGTTAAGTCGAGACAGCTGTATCCGGAGAACATTTAAAAAGACGACTTTTCCGACAGCAGTCTCGCACGAAAAAATTTTATTTTACGTTTTTTTATTTATTTTTTTCATAGAATCATCCCCTTCCTGGTTGTACAATTTTCGGAACACCTCATATATTTGCGTCTTGGAGAGAGAAAGCGAAAAATTTAAGTGCAAAAAATACGAAAAAAAAAACACGGGCTGCGTTCCATAAAGCGCATGGTGCGCATGATATATCGTTTTATCCTTAACATTTAATGAACAAGGATAAAATAATATATCCTAACGTAAAACGGAAAGCAGCCACAAATAGATCCATAATGTCGTTAACAGAAAATAACGACATCCTACGTGCGCGGCGTACGGTGATCTTAGTTTCTTAAAGAAAATAGGGGACAAATTTGAAAATTTTATGACTTTATTCCTAAATATTTTCAAACTAATTTGTAACTGTCAGACGTTAATTGCGTACTAATTTCTGAAGTTTTCTTGCGCAGTATACATGAAATAACTTTCAAATAAAGCACAAGTCATTATAACATCAAAATGATATCAAAATAGCTGTAAGTTTGATTATTAAAAGTCACTTTTCAAGTTTTTCATTATCTCACGATTCATTTTGAAGTCATTTTATTGTTATTATGACTCTGTTCTGTTTGAGTTAATATTGCCCTTGCATAAAACTAAATTTGTCGGTTGTTTTCGTAAACATTCGTTCATTAGTGCAACATTAAACATTGAAATGCTAAAGAAAATAACTTCCCATAATAACGTTAAAATAAAAAACAAAATGGAGTTTTGAAAAAATAAATGAATCTGAAGGAGAGCTACTTGAAATAAAGAACGTGTGGTTACCTTACATATGTGATGATGATCAATAAATAATCGACAACTTGCATATTTCACGAATGTGATATTTACATTTTATTATGTTAAAAAAGTAAACAGAAGATACACCTCTCGCGAATACTGTTTTGTTATTGCGCTCTGTGTACAAACGGTAGGTGATTTCCCGAAATAGGACTTTGCTGATTCTCTGAATTCCTCGGCTGCGAGCGTCTCGATGTTTTTTAGCGCTGTTTTGCTAAGTGCTTTTATTCTAGGAATCCTGAAATATTTTAGGAATTCAGAGTGTTAAAATACATTGGAAACACCAATTATGTTTAAACCAATTTTTATTTTTTATCGATTTAAAGATCGTCTCACTAATAATAAATTTACGAAAACATGAAATAACTGAAATAAAATAAAATCCGATTAAGGCTCAGGTTATATAATAGTATAGAATTTGAAAATTATCCGAGTTATTTCATTCTGAGAAATTATGTTTCCATTTATCGGATGTTAGCAATAATAAAACAAGAATTTTTTGCTTCTTTAACTTTATAAATGATTTATTGTTTGATTCATTTACTCATCTACTGTTTAATATTGCAATGTAATACGATTTTGATATTAATTAATACATGGAGATATATTATCGGCTTATCGATCTATTGAGATTACGAGATATAAATAGTCAGGATAGAAATGCAATTAATCCGGACAGACTTCCTGTCGGAGACTTTAGGAAAATATATTTAACGATTATTAACTGCTAATTGACGCAGACAGCGACGTCTGTTCTATTCTATTTTCTCTTTATCTTTGATCTAGATCCCCTCCTATTAATTTCCGTTTAATAATTAATAACAGTGTATTTTTTAACTTTTTATAGAATCATAGTGATTTGATACAAGCAGCGTCACATGTTGATTAAAAGAAAAAAAGAAGACATATCAATTAAAGAATTTATGACACCAAATGCAACCGATGTTAGAATGTCTCTTGGAGATGTTTTTTATATCATAGATAATCCACAAAGATTTATTACCGTATAAATCGACATGATTCTCCGACATCTTTTTGTTGAAAAAAAAATCATTTTTGAATTGATCGTAAAGACCGTAATTATGAAGACACCTAACGATTCTACATTATTTTATGTACTTTATTCTATATATATATATAATATATTTTATATATTCTATTTATATATTCTAACACACAATAGACTTCCGTCCTCTCTCTCTTAAATTTGCTGCATATTGAAATAATGGATCCTCAAATTCGCGGTCACACACTGCGAATCTCATAATCCCAATATCTCGATAATCCGATAATATATCTCCGTATATTAATTAGTATCGAATTATCGAGATCGCATTGTATTGACACGGTCCGTTTTACAATCTGCCCG